GGGGTTCAAACGCTGCTCGTCTGAACCTAAAACCTCTACGGTTTTGATACGGTGCCAGGCAGTGTTGTGAACGCACGGTTGCAAGGTGTGTTTTAGCTCTTTATTGTATAAATGCGTTGGGTGTAGTTATTTTAGCAGCTTGTTTGAGCATTGCACACAACGCCTGCAGCAGATCTCTGAAGTTCTGCGCTGGGAGGTTTTCAGGTTGGGCTCTCGGAGGAACGCGGTCGCCTGAAGGTATCTGCTGGACGACATCGGCTGCCCTGCAGGGAGACAACGTATGGAGCTGGTTCAGGGTTATAGAGACAGAAGCGTTGTTGAAGCTGCACAGTGGTAGGCAGGGCACGTGAAGGGAAAGGAGATACCCTCCTTCAGAGGCAAAATAGCCAGTTATGCTCTACACAATGAGGCAAGGAAGTGGAAGAGATTTGGGCCAAGCGCCTGCAGATATCTTGAAGCTTCGATGCGACGAGCGCTCCTGTTTGTGCCTCCCGAGCTGAGCGTTTAGGCTCCTCTGTTTAGCGCTCGCCATGTAGTAACCCAAACCTTCGCCGAAGTCCGTGGGTCGAGCGCTCTCGTTGTGCTGGCAGAGCTGGTTAACTTGGTTTGTGTGTTTGCGTGCGTGAGTCCCAGCAGCATGCTATCTCTGATGGTTTCATAATCATCACAGCACGATTCAGGGCACTGAGGAAGCGTCGTAGTCCAGAAGCTTATCACTTTTTTTTTTTCCTGTTCTTGAAGTGGCGCATGCCAAAGATAGCTTACCCTGGTGTGTTTGCTTGTATGGTTGTACTATGCTTAAACTACTCTTGATATTTATTAAATACTTGGAAATAACTTTATAGTTTCATCCTTTTCATGGGTGAATATGGGTCTGTTGAGGAGAAAAACTCTTTTAACAGTTAGTAGCGCAGATAAAAGGAAGTTTACCTTTAGGCAAGCAGTAAGTAATTATCTTTGTTTATGCTCTAAACGCTTGTTTGTTGTCCAAAAATGGTGGTATATCTCAGACTCAGGGAAAATATTTATACCATCAGACTAAATAATGACGGCCTTGTGGTTTGTGATCTGTGCATGATTGGACCAGTTAGGATATTTCACTGAATGTGAACTGGTAGTATGCCTTGGATGTTTCCAAGTCTTGTTTACAAGCTGTGAAACTGTATCTCTTGTTTAGAGGTTCTTAAATAATGGGCTGTTTTCCCCAGCTGACAAGTGCAGATCTGCTTGGCAGAGTGGGACTGTTTGCAAGGGGAAGAACTGGCTGGATGAACGTGGTTGGAGTGATATTAAAGAGAAATGGGAAGGGAGAAGGAGTAGGGGCACCTGATGGGAAAGAAATCTTGGAACCTGTGATGTTTAAAGGCATGGAAGGGATTTGGGTTTGGGTAGGGAAGGAGGAACTTATAGGTATGTGGTTATTGGCTCTCTGATTTGGAGTTGCTTGTTCTTGCAGAAATTATAATCTAGAATGAACAGAGCTGCCTTTTTCCTACATTTGTCAGTTCTCTAGTATGGAGTGGCTGTAGAAGTGAATGCTTGATGGTTACAGATCCGCTATAATGGGTACAGCTTTCCTGTAGCAGGAGGTTGCACGCAATGTGACTGAGGCTTTACCACTTACTACTAGTGTTTTAAGATGGGGCTTATTTGTTATGAAGCTGATTTGGGCTTATACACCTAGAAATGTGTCTGAAATGGCTTATTCCTTTAGCACCAAGGAGGCAGAAGTCACAATGTAGTTTAGAATATAAAATCGAAATGGTTACTGCCTAAACTAATTGCTTTAAAATATTGAACTGCTGTAGGTAGCTGTCCCTGCTTTAAGAGTGTGCCTTTTGGTAGCTAATGGGGTGATGTAGCTGCAAGGTTCCATGTTGTCTTCATTTGAAGAAGTGCAGACTTTGTTCGTCTTCAAAATTTACTTGTACAAGTGTATACTTAGCTTATATACTTTAAGAAGTCAAAGAAAAATTCTCATTTTATTTCTAGCTTATAACACTGCAAAACTAGTAACTTAATGATTATCTGGCAAAAAAAAAAAAATTTTGCTACTTCCCAGAAATACTGATTCAGTCTTAGCTTCTGTGAATGTAGTCTGAGCAAGACCTGAACTAGTGTTTGAAATTAAGCCATGCATCTCCCAGGCAGGTGTTCGGATGGTCCAGATATTTTAAATATGTCCAGGAAAGTAATGCAGCTCTTGACTGTAAGTACCAACTTAAGCATGCTAAATGTTAAAAGCTAAAAATAGGCCTGCTCTTTTCTCACTCTGTATGTTTGTTTATGTGTGTATGTGTATATATATATATATATACAAGTGCATATATATATAAACAAATATAAAAACACTTGTTTCTTCTATTATGGTGTCTTCCTTTATCTGTAAGATGGATAAGCTGTAAATCACTCCTGTGCTGTAGAAAATGAGATCTTAGCTAGCAGGCTTTTCGGGGGGTGACAGACCTGTTGACAGAAATATCCACAGACGAGGGAGGCTGTGTTCTGGGTCCTCAGCACCTGTCTGTAAGGCTGTTCCCGTGGATTTAAAACTGTGGCTGTTACTGCTGAACAGTGACCAACGCTGCAGTGTCCCACTGAAAAGCGATTTGAATCGGTACAGTGAGTTTAAGTTAGACTCTTGTGTTAGTTCTTGACCAGGCTTTTTTTTAAATCTTGGCAAATGCTTATGGATTTACCAAGCAGTTTATAGTCACGCATTTTCCTCTCAAACGTAAGTTAATGGCTCTGCAGGAGAGAGCATACACGTGGCGCTGGCACATCTGTGTTGTCCTGTTATACTGGTTTTCAAGCGACTACAGTATCTCAAACAATCATGATTGTTTTCTGTTAAGTTCCATTTAATGGTCCGTGCCAATGATGAGGCTATCCAGAAAAATCAGTAAGAAACACTGCTGCTTCATGGAGCCTCCGGTAAAAACCTGCATGGAGCAGGGGCACGACTGCGCGATGGGGGACTTCTCCAGTTAGCGTGGGGGTGCAAAATGGACTTCAAATTTCTCTTGCTGTGCGAAGGCTACTTATTTTTTTCTGCAAGCAGAACTTTCTGTTCCCAGCAACTGGAAAACTGCTTTGGCATAAACAAGACAGAACATGCATTTGTGCCTAATTCTCCAGAGGCACAGTTATGCAAATCGGTTGTAAAGTGGTAGTGACTTCAGAAAATTTGGAATTCAGTTGAATGTTTTAGCTGGATACGTTTCTTTAGTAAAAGTTAATTTAACCATTTATCTTCTGTTGGTAAAGTGGAGTTTAGTATTACTGAATGGCTTGTTCATCCTGTAGTATTTTAATTGACATTAATAGCAGCAAAAGATGGATGTGAATTGGACTAAGGAAAGGCATATTTGATTATTGTCTTGTGAGGCACAAGACTCTCATAATGGGGTATATTTGCATTGGAGGCTTGGACTTCCTAAAAATCGATGAAATGATTGCCTTTGTTAATAAAATAAAAAAATAATGTAATACAGAGGCTTATCACTAGGTCATATTAAGTGTATCAGTGAAATAAGACAAATTAACAAGCTTTCTGTATGCAAATGTCAAATGAAGGTTCTTCATTCTGAGGTGGACAGTAAAATTATATTTCACAAATGATGGTGATATTGAATCAGATTGAAAGAATAGTAATTAAACGTGTGGGGTTTTGGCATTGATTTTTTTTTTTTGTAAAATGGTTTGGGCCTGTTCCATAAGTAATGCATAATGACGTTCCTAAAAAGCATTTTGTAGTGCTGAAATGTTAACTTAACCATTACATTTGTGGAAGATGGCCCAGTTTAGACTGCATTAATCATTGTTCTTCAGTAGTGGTTT